TTTTCTTATTCTCTTTTATGGTTTGATCAATCTTCCATTCTTACATCTGGTAATCTAAGCAACTTCTTTGAAGATAACAATATGTAATATAATAACCACTGTTAATTCCTATCATTTTGTTTTGGAACCCCATATCATTTTTAATATCCTTGCTTTGTTTTGTTTATATTTCACTATTGTTTTTTCTTTCTTTATACTATTATCTTTAAAATAAAAGAAGTAAAAAATCCGTAAGTACAATAAAAATACCACCACCAAAAAGGTCCACTTCCAGGTTTGTCTCTGCTGTCCCTGGTAGATATATGAGGACAGCGTCTAACTGTGTTGCTATTACCCCACTAAGCCAGCAGTAGCTTTGTGTTGGGTGGCACAGTGAATATTCTCAGCAAGCATGCAGTTTCTCATGGCATGCAGCTGTCAGCTCACCTTCCTCAGGCTTGAGCTCAGCTGGGTGCTGCTAGATGGAGCCCACAGCTACTCTGAGTTCTGAGCTCCCTGGCCCCTCTGTAAAATGGTTCCCAACCAATCACTCTCTTATGCAAGATGACTGAGCCCTCGTCACTCACTGGCAGCTAATGCAGTCCTTCACAGCAGCCAGTGTAGTCCTTCATGTCCATTGCCCCCCTCCACTGCTGTGTCTTTCCATGGAGGTCTTTGGGGTCATCAGCATTTACCATGTGTCTGCAGGTTTGAATCACTCCTCTCATTCAGTGCCTTCCATCCCTGGGAGGATCAGCCACTGGGTACCTCCTTCTTTGTTGAACTTTCTCTTTTCACACTCTCCATGAGCTTCAATCCTCAGCTCAGTTCTTTCCTGATTCCAGGGGACTCACTTCCCTCCTTCTTGTCTTCTATACATTGCTATATTCTAGCATCTGGACAGCAACACTTGGAGAGGTTCTTTCTCTGCTGCTTACCATTCCTCCATCTGGCCCTCCTTTCAAGACAGCCTCTTTATAAATGGTGCTAGAAAAACTGGCTTTGCACACGTCAAGGATTAAAATTGGACGCATATCTTTCACCATATGCTAAATTAAATTCAAAATATACTAAAGATCTAAATATTAAAACAGAAGATAGAAGGCTGATAGAAATCCTGCTGGTAAAGACCAGGCTCAGAAGGTTTCTGTTAAGAAGGACTGCACTGGCTGCTGGACCCCAGACAATGTGTGTTCTGGCTTGGCAGTGTTTGTCTGCATTTTGCTCATGTTGAGACTTCACTTGAGACTAAAGGCAGTGGACTAATTAATCTGGCAGAAGAAATTTCCAGGCAGTTGAATGTTAGGGTGGTGGCATGGCTATTGTTTGGGGTTTTAGTCAGATCTACATTGAGAATCAAGAGCAAAGAGCCCAGAAGAATGATTTAAAACATTGTGAGTGTGGCCTGTAAAGAAGCTCCAGCAAAGCTGTGGACTGCAAAGATAGAGCAGAGGAGATCTTAATTGCTGAAAGGAACAGGCAAGGGGCTGGGGATTTAGCTCAGTGGCACAGCGCCTGCCTGGCAAGCACAAGGTCATGAGCTCCATTCCCGGTACCAGAAAAAAACTCAAAAACAACAACAACAACAACAACAACAACAGCAAAAAAGAAAGGAACAGGCAAATAGAAAAGATGGCCTGAGGGCATCACAGGAAGTACCCTTCGCAGCCTTAAAATTGTAAAAGTGAATGACTTTGCTTTGAGAAGAAAGCCCCAGAGCACCATGTTCCAGAATGGCAGCGGCCTGGAGAATTTGTTCCTCGGAATAGGATTCAGAGTGCTTACTGATCCAGACACTTAACCCCTACAGACAAGAGAGGGAAGTCTGGCTACTGTTCCATCTGGCAGCAGACCTTGGCATCATCCACATGGTGCTGGTTTTAGATGCAGGCAGAATGCAAGAGTTGTGGGCTTAAGTAGGCTTATACCCAGATTTTAGAGGAAGGCCTGGGAGATCAGGCAGTGTTCCCCTGTAAGGGCAGTGCATGAAGAAGCTGTGAAGTTTAGAGAAGCCAGGAACATGGATTGTCTGAGGAAAACTACAAGGGAGCAGAGCTGGCCCCAGAGAGAAGTTATGGGCAATATAACCACTAGAATGTGGTATTATTCATCCTTACAAAGAATTAAATTCTGATACACATTACAACATGAATGAACCTTGAAGACATTATGCTATGTGGAAAAAGCCAGCACAAAAGGATCCCACTTATATGAAGTCCTTAGAATGGTAGATTCATGG